CTGACCGCAGCAGACTGCAGCAGACTGCAGCAGACTGCAGCAGACTGCAGCTGACCGCAATGAGCGCAACGGCCGCACAGTCGCTGCATCCTTTCGTAAAAGAGAAAATAGTTGCGAATACATCAAAACACCGTGATTTAGCCTAGAAAGTTCATAGGTTCTAACTTACTTTTCTCAATCAAGTTTTGGCGATTGTTTCTCTTTAATATGCTCAATTTGTTCAGATTCCTTTTGTCATTGCATATACCTATTTTACTCCCGCTCGTGTTGTCTGTTGGGGCATATATTGTTGAAGGCAGTGGCTCGGCAAATCTCAACCTAGTCAAATTTGCGCTTATCTGGGGTTATTCAATACGCTGATCCCGAAAATTCACTTTTGAAAGCTTGAAAACGGCGAAAATAAGCGTTTTTCAATGCCCTCCCCTTTGGAATTGGACGAGAGGAGCAAGGCTAAATCGCTGCAGAACCCAGTAGTTATAGCACTGCGGCGGGCAGCCTCCAGTGGTGAAAAGGAAATTGCCAACTCGTCCAGATGCGTTTAAGATTGGCCTGCGCGTGTAAGTTTGAGAGCTATTTTCTTGGCAGGGAAGGCATGCTGTGCAAATGGGATTGCACTGTTTTCATACTTGGGCGATAAGGAACCTACGGCGTTGAAATCCTGAATTGTTGGATTTTGCTGATCCACTGCCTTTAAGAGACTGTTTGAGCTGCAACTATTCATTCTCTCCACCTTCACGGAAGGATGTAGCGATCTGTGCGGCCCCGCGGTCAGCTGCAGTCAGCTGCAGTTTGCCGCAGTCTGCTGCCGTCAGCTGCGGTCAGCTGCAGTCTGCTGCAGTCTGCTGCGGTCAGTGCGGCAGTCTGAAACAACCCTTAGCGTGAGAACGACGTCAAATACGTGCATGTACACGGTACTTTGAAAATTTATAACTAAGATCAGGAAAAGATTGAGAGGCTGCAATGAACAGCCTGTGTAATGTTGTGCCCAAACTATCCACGGAAAAAGTTTAAGCCATTGAGTAGCAGTGAGCTCGAAACGATGCGACTCTCGCAAATTTAGATGCGATCCTAGAAAGCAAAAACTGGGAATTCCAAGCTTGGAATTTTGTCTCACCGGAGAAGTTATGAAACAGCCTGAAATTTTCAGGATAGAAAGTAAGAGGATGCTTCGTATTATGGCAGTCGACAAGCTTCGATAGCTCTGGAAAAATTTAGATGCGACCCAGATACGACACCCTTCTCTTTTTTTGCTACCATACATAAAATTATAAGAAAATGTACAGCTTACAAACTAAGACCAGATTTTGGATAAATGTAATAGGACTTCTCCAAGTTACAGGTAAATCGTTTGAGCCCATGAAAAGCATTACAAGGAAAAATTTGAAATTCATTGATGGTCATCGTTGCTGAAGGTATTCGCTTTTGTCGAGTGTGTGAGACTTCAGGAAGGCTTCAAAAACAGGATTTTTACACCAATCGGGTACATTTGGCATCCTTATCAAATCACACACCTACAAAAGTGTTCTGAGCTATTAAAAATGTCTTTGAGGATTTCTATTAATTTTTAACTTTCCTTTACCTTCACCTTTAACTTTACGGTATTTTAGCCCAACAACCCCCTCTCATGACCCCCTCCTCCATTTTAGGTCCTTTACGACCCTGTTGTGATGGTCACATCACATGCTTAATCCTGCTTCGAGTCCATCCACACCGCTCGCACAGTAATGAAGAGATATAGAGAGGATCAAAAGGAGTCACATGCAGCCTTCCTGGACTTGGAAATAACGGCCTTCGATAAGGTGCCCCATTAAAGGCAGCGGCTCGGCAGATTTTGCACTTCCATCTTTTTGCATGCTTTGGGCCTTCTCGACCTGTAGATCCCGAATCTGAGCTTTAAAAGGGGTGAAAAAGCCTTTTTCGGGGCGTGTTTTTCGATTTCCAAAAGGCAGCTCGGACGAGAATTTTTCAAAGGGGAGTCGGGAGGCCCTGGCACGAAGACCCTGCTGCCTGTAATTTTGGCTTTGTATAGCATGCACAGTGCGGGAAAGCGGTTGGGGGTCCTGCGCCGTCTAGCGGAGAATACTCGTCCGAACAAGGTGTTAGGGGAGCGAAAGGAGGAAGGGGAGCGACGCATGGGCCGTCCCCCTGGCTTGCAGAATTCACATTTTCGGCCCGGAGTTGCTCTTTTGGTTTACTTGGAGGGCCTCCTATCCGTCTGTGTCAAAATCTAAGGTAGGTCTATTCTGCCGAGCCGCTGCCTTTAAGTCATATGGTGAGAATTGCGAAGACGCGTGGTGCCGGAAGAGTACATTTGGTGGATGAAACTGATCTACCACAAGGCTTCAAGCCACGTACAAAGAGCAAGGACATCGAAAAAGTTCCAAACAAGGTTGGGATACACCAAGAATAGTCCTCTCTCCCTTGCTGTTCATCACTGCGATGAACGCAGTGTGGAACCACTCAGATGTGAACTTCCTTGACAATTCTCTTCGCAGACGATGTGGTTTGATAACAAATACAGTGTACAATCTAAATCAGGCCAAAATTGGCCTGGCGGGAGTCCGCGTCGCCAGGGTATTGCATCACGCTACGGTCTGCTTGTCTGAGGTGTGGTGCGAAAGGCGACGATCCCCATATTTTGTGACTTTCGAAACTCTTCAGTGCTAAAACAAGGCGCCGAGGTATGGGGGTGAGGGCAGATACATAACTCGATGCAGTAAGTAAAATGTTGTAAAAATTAGCAAGAGTGATTTTACGCTGATTGCATTTTGCGTGCACTGTCGCCTTCCGTGCCTGCTTGTCTGCCCTATCCCCAACCTCTTTGCTCTCTCCAACAGTGCGCATATGCAGCGCGAACCTCTATGCAAGCGCGCAATTCTCCCTAATGGTTCGGCCTGATCCCAATTAGGGCAGACTACCAGAAAGGAGCTGCAGACGAAGTACAAAACTAGAAGAACACGCTAGAGCTGTATGGCTTGAAGCTCAACACCAGAAAGACAGAATACATGGAAGTAGGCAAACAAACTCAAGGTACATAACTCTCGATGGTGAAGAGCTTAAAGGCACCGTCCACCCAGATTTTCGACTTCCACGTTTTTGTCGTTTCAGGGCCTTCTCATGACCCTGATTCCGAATATAAAGTCGAGAACCCCGACAATCCCCGTTCTGGAGGACCCACAGGCCGGCTTTACAGAACGGTGATTGGATGGGCGCGCAGAAATGGGCGGGCATGGATGGGGGTCCTCGTGCGTCTTCGCTACTCCGAAGCGATTTTCTCGCTTCCGAAACGGCACTTTGCGCCGCAACTTGAGCATTGGATAGATAGGGGGCCCTACTATCATATGCTGCCAAAAGCTCAACAACCTCAACTTAGGGTGGACGGTGCCTTTAAAGGCAGTGGATCCGCAAAACTCAAAAACTCAGGATTTTAACGCGGTGGGTTTCTTATCGCCCAAGTATGAAAACAGTGGAATCCCAGTTGCACAGCATGCCTTCCCTGCCGAGAAATTGCTCTCAAACTTACACGCGCATGCCAATCTTACACGCGCCCGAACGAGTTGACAGTTTGCTTCTCACCACTGGAGGCTGCCCGAAGCAGTGCTGTAATCATGGGTCCCGCAACGATCTGACGTCATCAACTTTGCTCCACTCGTCCAATTTCAAAGGGAAAGACAATGGAAAATGCTCGTTTTCGCCGTTTTCAAGTCCTCTAAAGTGGATTTTCGGCATCAGCGCAACCGTAAGCGAGAATTTGACTAGGTCAAGATTTGCCGAACCACTTCCTTTAAGAAGACAACGTCATACAAGTACCTTGGCAGTTACATCCCAGCGGAAGGAGGACTGTAGGAGGAGGTCGCAGGCGGCATGGATGAAATGGAGAAGCTTGACAGGAGTTCTGTGCGACAAAAAGCAGTGCACAAGTCTCAACTGTACAACGTTATCCACAGCACTGTATGGCAGTGAGTGTTGGCCTTGTACGCAGAACGTGGAGCGCAAGCTTAGTGTCATGGAAACAAGGATGTTGCGCTGACCTTAGGAGTCACACTGAAGGACCATAAATGAAAGTATAGTCTGCCCCAATCCCAACCAGGCCAAAATTGGCATGGCGGGAGCCCGCGCCGCTAGGTCTTCGCGGTCACGCCCACGGTCTGCTTCTCTGCTCTCTCTTCAATCCCTTTGCTTTCTCCGACAGCGCGCATATGCAGCGCAGACCACTAGCGCTGCGAGCGCGCAAACTTGCGCCGGTGGTTCGGCCTGATCTCAAGTGGAGCAGACTGTAGCTCCATTTGCCCAAAAAATGCAGGAGAAGAGATTACAGTGGTACGGGGATGTGCGTAGAGGGGAAGAGAGCCGCATCACGAGGTTAGCCTTAGCGGTGGAGACACCAGGGGAAAGAACTAAGGGTAGACCAAGATGAGGTGGATGGACAGAACCAAGACCGATATGCGAGAATTTGGAATACATGAAGACCTTGCTTCAGATAGAAGAACATGGAAACAACTGACAAGAACAGCAGACCCTGCATAAGCGGAATAAATGCGAAAATGAAAAAAAATGTTTTCTTTTTATTTGGGAGTTCTCACTTTGACTATACCTAGTTAGTTTTTTAGGCACTTGGGAGACTGCGGCCAGCATGATATGCTTTGGGATATTTCACAGTCACTTGCGACAAGTATACTGTAGGCAAGCACGAAACTACAGTCGAGTAGTATAAACGCTTAATATAGTGTGCTTGCACTGAAGGTGAAATGCGGTAAAATTTGCGCGTGAACAAGTAACCACGCCAGTAATGCCAGCCTTCTGCGCAATTGGCCGGCATCACAGCTATTTGCTCATGCGCAAATTTTACCGCATTTCACCTTCAGTGCAAACACACTATATTGAGCGGAAAATCTGCTCGACTGTAGCTTGGATTTTTCAGAAATTGGCAAGAACTTTGCAAACTCGAATGTTAAAGAAGACAGAAATTTTTTTTACAGAAAAACACTTGACCTACCTACCTGCTCAGAACTCAGATTCATCGGCACCCATGGTTCCACGCTCCCACGGATAATCACTTGCTGCAAGAACGTGCTCCTAGCGCGGGCCCACGATTTCCCACCTGCGTAATTGATGGGGCAGATGGCTGACTGACTCTTGAGAGACTGAGGCTGTTACCGGAATCCTCGTACAACTTGTCGGTCCAGTCAACACTAATGGGACTGTTTGTTGGAAGGCGGAATCTAGTAAATGTAGGGTACGATAAGACTACCATGGTGATGAGTGACATAGATAAACAGGCCGCTGGATGTGCAGAGCAAAATCTGCAAATACTAATTTTTCGATGTTCTAAAATAGGCTTTGGTCCAATAAGGCAGCAATGGAAAATGGCCTGCTCGTGAATATTTTCCATAACAGCTCTGCTGATGTTACAAAAAATGTGGAAACCTACCGTCCATAATCATGATAAGCTTGTGCAACACGCTCGCGTAGGCTCACACTCCTGTTAGCCGACATTTTCTGATAACTAAACACACAGCCTTTTGTCTTACTTATACCTTTGATAGACTCTAGAGATACCAGTGTACCATACATGTTTGTTTATGGATACGACATACAGTCCAGGTTTTCATATGAATATTTATTTCAACAGAGTTCAACAATCACGGGACAACAGCTCTCCAGAAAGTCAACAAAGAAATTCTAAAAAGTTGTGAAAAAGCACAGCACTACATCCGCAGTACAATTTTTCAGTATGGTGCAGAAGAAATAGCGAGAACAAACGGTGACAATGGTGAAGACAGTAACGAAAATGATGCCGTACACTATCAAGTCGCCATATCAGACATCCTACTAAATTTACTTGTAGCTTCGTAACGCATCATTTGAACCCAGCGATATTTTAGTCAACAATTATAGGTAGAAGGGACAGAACATTCAGATATTTGTCATCCTCTCATGAACTTGCAACTGAGTCGTAGTAAGATTTGCCAGATACGATATCATCATGTAATCCTGAAAATGACGATAGCCCAATAGCAATAAGAAAACCTCAGCATGGAACGTACCCTTAGGCTATTCTTGACAAGATTATCTAGTTTTTCAGTCTGCATGTGAGTGGCAGCGGTATTGACAATATCCATTAGGCGACGCCCCATCGTGGCATCAGAAGGCAATTCATCACGAGATATGACCTCGTTGACGTATCTGCAGCGAAATTTGATACGTGTTCAAAAAAGCCGCAAGATGTGAGTCCAATCGCACAGCAATTATACAGAGACTTCAACAAAAACAAAACCCACTCTAGCAACCTTTCCAGCCATTCGATTATCTGACCTATGCTCCTTTCAAGTTGTTCCAGACCACTTTCCATGGTAACTTCGCGTCGCCGAGAGTCAAGCGCATTCTACGAAAATGTAAGTAAAAAAGCTACATATAAGCATTATGCGTTACAAGATCATAGAAATGGTATTATTTAAAAAAAAAAACTCTAGCTAGAAACGAGACTACAAGTTTCCCTATCGTACCTCAATCAGTTGCATTGCGACACACTCTCCCGGAAATGCATCCAATTCCACGCGTAGTGGGTTGAATATTGCACAATGAGGATCACGAGCACGAGGTATTCCAGCCATAGTTCTAACGAAAAGTTAACTGATCGAGAGTAATATGGACATGACAATGGCGAACCTGAGGTAAGCTCTCATTGGCATGCGATACTTGTCATCTACACTGGAGAATGTAGTGTCTAACGTCAGCAAGATCAATGGTGGTACCTCCTTTCGTGACACCTGTAAAACATGCACCCATCTTCCCAAACTATTTTGGTTTTTAGGCTCAGAAGTTATAAACAACTGCTATACACAAGGATCTTTGACCTTTACTCAAAGGCAGCGTCCCGGCAAAGTGTTGTGTATTGGGATTTCACAGCGTTGCAAAAGCAAAAATAGTTTATCAATGAAGTGTGGAGCGAAAAAGCGCGTCCGTGAAGCCGAAACCACTTCGGAAGTCTTCCAAACTCCGGCACCTCGTTCCGGCCCCTCCTCCTTACAAGTTTTACCAGCGAATATGAACATGGAGAGAAAAAGCTCATTTTCACCACTTTCGTATGCAAAAAAGCTCAGATATGGGTTCGGTACGGCGAAAGAAAAGGTGAAAACTGGAAAGCGGACTTTTGCCCGGAAACTAACAGTAGACTGAATATATATATCACTCAAATATTCAATGTTCCCAAACGAACAAAAAACATCGCTTTAAAATAAACAGCTACTAAACAAAAAAGGATCCAACTGATTTGCTTGTGAACTTCCAAAATTACAACGTTACAGACCACTTCTTCACAAATCTCAAGCAAAAAAAAAAGCAAAAATAGAAAAAGCAGATATGTTGGAAAAATGTACAGTAGTTACAGAGTGGACAACGGACAAACCTCGTTGATAACCCTATTGTAATAATCATGATAGATAAGACAATTTGATGACAGATCCGACGAAGTGTAGAACCTGAAGCGCAGCACGTCCAGACATTCAGACATCAAAGCGGAATTAGTGAAGCTCACCATCCCACAGGCTGTTCAGTGGGTGCGGCTCTCTTCAGCATTTGGATCATTTGTTGATTGAAAGAGTCATCAAGCTCCAAATCATCGCGAAGTTCACTGAAGGGAATAGCGAAGCAATTAGTCACCTAAAAAACACGATGCGTTCCGTTTCGCGCTTTCACGCTTTTTGCGTAATAAAAGTAGCAAAAGCTACCTACTATATATATGCTGCCTTCGAAACCGAAGACTTTGATACAGATCTTATATATAAAGCTGAATGTCTGTTTGTCTGTCTGTCTGTCTGTCTGTCTGTATGTCTGTCTGTACGTATGTTCCGAATAGAAAATTCCATTTCTGAACCGATCGGGACCAAACTTGGCACACATATACTTTGAGCCCCGGCGGGTGTCATAGGCTACTTTTCGTCATCGATCGATATCGATTTTATCGATTTTTTGCAAAATTTGAGCTACGGGGCTGGGAGTTGGCACAGGGGGGTAATCGAGCATGAAGATCACCCCCGTGGGGGTGATCAGCATGCTCGATTACACCCCCTGCCAAATTTCAGCCCCCTAGCTCAAATTTTGCAAAAAATCGATAAAATCGACATCGATCGATAGCGAAAAGTGGACTGTGACACCCGCCGGGGCCCGAAGTGTATGTGTATCAAGTTTGGTCCGGATCGGTTAAGAAATGGAATTTTCTATTTGGAACATACGGCGGAGCCGGGTAAGCCAGCTAGTATCATATAAGCCCACCTGAACCGCATCCTTTTCGTAAAATCCCATCAAAGTTCCTAAAGCTTTATCATTCGCAGGTTGCCCTGCTTTTGTTGGCCTTTGTCTTCGAAGGTATGAGTCAACGATGGTCATGTATACTACCGGATGCACTTTGACAGTCAAGTTTGACGCCATCTTTGAGAAAAAGAAATTAACCTGAGCAGAAAACTCAATGAAAAAGTAGTCGTGCTGGGAAATACCAAGATATATCTCTGAAGTATGGCAAGAACTCTTTATTACCCTCTTAGTTGTAAGAAAAGAACACAGAATTGAAAGATATGTAAAAAGAATATTGCCATAAATAATCACCGTTGGGTATCACCACTATTATTCATTGATCTATCGTCAAGCAAGAAGCTATAAAACGGTTTTTTTTCAAAAAAAAAAGACCACAGCTTTATGACTTGCTACAGCAGTGCTGACTTCTTCAAAATTCCTATCGAGCTTTGAGGCTTTAGAGGGATTCTTACTTGACGTTACACCAGGTCATGTTACCGGAACATTAGGAATGACTATGACTGAGTTTTGAAGGAACAAAAAAGATTAAGTTGAAGAGAATGTTTGCTTTGAAGTAAATAACCGAATGGAGCACATAAACTGTCGTCATTCAATGTCTTCTTCTTAAGCCTTCAGTGTCAGCTGCATATGGAGGAGGTGAAGCTGTGCCGGCTCGATGCAGCTGTTCGGTCGGCATAGGCTCTCGATCTGGTCCAATTCCTGGATATGGAGGAGGTGCTTCGCACATGAACACGGAATTCGTCTGCGGACGATCGGGGAATGCCTGAGTCGGAGGCTGCAATCCATTATGCCCTGGAAAACTGACGCTTGGTCAAGATAAAAACACAGGAAACAAACAGCAAAGACGATGTACAAAAGATATAGGGTAACCATATATTTAACAACATAGGCATTATTGGCGATCCATAACACACAAAGACTGGGCGCCGTTGCGTCCAACCAAGATAGCTCGTACTTGGGAAAGAGCGCAGATGGCAATAGAAACGAAAGAGCTTTTGATCAGAGAGACGCCGATACGTCCGCAGCCTTTGCGTGCAATGAATACCTGTACAACCTATGACCCAATATACCCAGCTACTAATTAGGGAACCCAAATTGCAGTGTGTTTCATGTACGTTTGAGTGTGATTCTGGGGAGGGTAGCTTGTGTCACTGCGTATGAAATTTTTGAAAGCGATCAAGAAAAAAAGAAAAATACCAGCAGATATCAAAGGTCCCTGGTTATACAATCTACAGGTATAAATAACTTACCAGCACTAGAAGGAGCATAATAATCCGGAGGAGCTGCATAAAAATCACCGCGAGGAGGAGCATAGGGTGGAGGAGCGTTTGACGGACGATACCTTTACACCAACAACTTATTAACATATAAGAGCACAAATATACACACTACCTGCTAGCCCTGTCGACAGCCTCGAGTAAAGTTCGTCCAAAATCAATGCATCCTCCTTTGTTAAATGTTAGTCGCCAAGGAACTTCACCAAATAACTGCGATCCAGGGATGGCCACCGCTATACCACGCAGATAATTCGCGCCTAAAAAGACTAATTCACTATCAAGCACTTCAGCTGGTACAAACCGAAAATGGGCTGCTCCAAATGTACATCTTGCATAGAAGAAAAGGGCATTTCAAAAGAATGAAATGCTTGCTGCACATCAGGCATGAAGATAACCCGATGTGATGTTAAGTAGAGCACGCCGTTAAATTTTCCTTCCAAAGCCTAAATACGAACATGCGTTTAAAAGTAACTTTATTGAAGTATACATACCTGGTTCTCATTTTTCCCTATCGTCATTACAACACTTCGAGCAAAAACAAGTATGACTTCACCATTATAAATCAAAACACCTCGACCATCCGGTGTATTTGCGGTGTTAATCGACATCTGGAAGATATCCATAGTCAAAATGGCTCCACAAGGAAAAGATTTACGTAACAGCACAGAATTCTTCTTGGCACATTTTTAATGGGAAAGTGTCATACTAATCACATTTTCAGACTCACTCGAGATAATTATACTGAGCGCCGAAAGGGACCATTCGTAAAATAATATTCTCTCTATATTCAAAGTGGACCACAGCAACGCTCTTGTCCAGCTAAATTACTGACTAAGCACCTATCGCCACTCTTTTTTTAGTGCGTAAGGTAAGCGGTAAAGAAACTCTTATTTACATTTCGATCGCTTTCCTTGTCTTGATTAGCACTTTCTAATGTACTGGGGACTAAAGAGGTGCTTAACGGTATACATTAACACTTTGTAACGAGTTATAAACAAAATCTAAGCGTAATTCAAAAAATAGAGAATTAGCAAAGCGATACAGATATCTACCGTGCCTGGAGACCTTTTCACTACACCTGCAGATTTTTTCAACCTTCTCACAGTCTCACGGCCACATCAATACTTAAACTGGTTCAGAACCAGAATCCAGATCGACTCAAAGTCGGTTTTTGACAAAATTTATCGACTGACTGCATACAATGAAGCGCAAATCGACGAGCCTTGCATTACACATAAAATAGCTCTATTATTCCAAGATATCATCATTATTACAGTTGAAACATGACTGCTCGTAACACTGCAAATCGGCTATAAATGCTTACGTCAAACCTAGCATAACCGAAATCAGCAGTGCTAATCTACAGAAATCTATACAACTTAAAACCTATACAACTGAAAGGAATGGAGTGCTAGCACAGGATGATTCACTTTTCGCGCTGAAGCTGAACCATAAATTCCTCCAATTTTTCTTGTATCCGTCGGACTTGTTCTGAAAAAAAAATGGTTCTGAGAAAAAAAACATGCGAAAGATAATTAAGTGACAACGGATGAAGAGTGATGTAGACTGCTGTAAGATGACACACGCAGCATCAAACTTACTGAGCTCTTCTGCGAGGTCCACGCGTCTACCAGTCAAGTACGTCTGTTTCTTGTCAGCTTCTTGCGACCAGTCATCTAGCACATCCTAAAAAATTTTAGTGATGAACTCTTGGAAAATAATAAAAAAGACAGCATGGTTTGTGAAATGCCTCTATGATACCCCCAGATATGCATGCTCTAAAAGACGGACCTTCACTTCCTTTTCTAACCGGCGCTGTTCAGTGTTCGTAATCTGCTGCCTCAGGGCGTTGCATGTCAACTTCAGCATCCTTTGTATCCTAAATCAACGATTGAACCAATGAAAAAATAGAAAATCTCGCATTCTTCCACCTATAGAAAAAGACAACGGTTTGGCAGTCAATGTCACCTTCATTGAACCCTTGGCGATAATGCTGGTATAAGGATGGGCTATCGCGACTATTCTGCAACAGGGCTTTCAGAAATGATGACCAAAAGAATCATAGTCATATAGATTTACCTGTATTGTCTTTTCTAAGAAGTGCTTTTTGTACATCAAATTCCACTGACGCCGTATGGTCTCCGAAGGGACTTCAATCACTCCTTTAGTTTCGAGATTCCGTCGAATTACCAAAACGTCTTCGTCAGTCAACGCTTGCTTATGGTCCTTTGATGGCACATAAATGACTTGATAGAGAACAATATTTGAGCGCATTTTCAATATACCAATTCTTCAAGCAAATAAGAGAGCACCCATAAGCAGAAGTACTTATGACCAAATAAGACCTACTCTCTTACAAACATTACTATGTACTGACAGCAGCTAATAGCTATGAAAATGTGTTTTGAGGGAACAGATGCAAATTTTAACAGACGACTTCGGTGCGGTTATGAAGCATACAGAAAGCGAATAAAACGTAGACACTGAGCTTACTGAAAAGAAAGTGATAAGCGAGGAAAATGGCTGGATACTCACTGGATCATTAGAAAGCATTGCAGCTAGCTCATCCTGTACTGCACTGGCGAAGTGATTGTCGGCTGAAGGTGCTTGCCAGAAGATCCACCGTGACACCCACCCTGGTCCACGCGCTTCACTCAGTTGTTGGTTTACCGTTGCGAGTCTGGCTGAAGCAGTCTAAAGAATTTTGATGGAATGGAGAACTTAGCAGAGGACACAACGTCACATCGCTCACCTGTCCCATGAACTGACAAGCAGAATCCCAGGTCCTTCGATCCGGAACCGCACGATCTTCCATTGCATTTAGTTGGATCACGCGCTGAGAGAAAAATAAAAATTGTTAGGAAACAACCGCAGTCTGGCATTTGTGAAACACACTCTCGTATCATTAGTTGAACTCACCAGATAATCCAATGCTTTAGAGTCCCATTCATGACTTGACATCGCTTCCTGCACGACAGCTTCCTTGAGCGGGTCGAAGATTGGATCATGGTCGCTTCGGCTCACGTCTTGATTTACTTGCTGAGTAAAGACATCCCGTAGCGTTTCCCATCCAGACTGAACAATCACTGCTGACAAGCTGGATTTGATTTTTGGAACAAAAAAACTAACATTCACACTCCTCTGCGGCAACTCCTTGTCTGCCCAGTGTTTAAGACGGATATCTACCAGCGTGTTGAATGAGCTAAATCAAACAGTATATCAACAGCATTATGTATCACAAAACTAACCCGGCATTTTCGACCACCCAAGCGGGCATTAGAATCTGATCGAACACGTGACTTGAAACGGTATCCCACAGCTTCTTTTCCAACTTCCTCTCCCACTCCTCGGCGGTAACTAATGAGAGGTTAACAATCTCATCGAGAATTTCCCCTCTCGCCTATAATGTACAGCACTCAACAGCAAATACGCAGCGACCAAATTATTCGATGCAAATTTACACATAATTTATGCACGCTAAAGCACCAACTTTGTCGAAGAGCTCATCCCTGTCTAGCTGCCGTATCCGTGGATAAGTGTTCTTCCATTCTGTTTCAAGGTTGAATCTGAAAAAAGGAGTTTGTCGTAATCATGATTAAACTGAAGATGTCGACACACCTAGTTGCACGGAAAGCGTCAGCTTGACTTTCAATCGAATCTCGAACCATTCTCCAAAAACAATCCGATACGGCTAAGGACATATTTCTAGTGGTCATTTGGGAGGGTTTCAGCACACCGTCCCTATAAAGTAGTCAAATATTCCTTTTGCAGCTCCTTTCACTTATAAAATTTGAAATACTGATATCAAGAGCATTTTGCTATAAACCTACTTCAGAAGCCGACTGTTCGAGAAGAATTCTTCTTCATATCTGCGGATTTCGTCTATTGACTCAGCGCTATTGCCACGTCCAGTCACCACCCCATAGTAGCCCAGTGCTTTCATTGGGAAAAGTTTACCTTCCAATATCTTTTTTATCCTGTCCGGATTAGCCAGGTTCTTCTCCGCTAAATCCACCTGAAATAAAGAAGTAAAGTCCTCGAAACTATGCTATGGTGAGTACCTTAGTGAGGACTAATATAGTTCTCCTTCCAGTAGGATCAATGCTGCTGACCAGATCCGTGACATTACTGCGTTCCGCGTCAACAGATCTGAAGCGATTTGAAAGCCTTTGATTGTCTCCCGTATATAGCAAAAGACTGAAGAAAGAACGATTGGACACGCTTACCCATCCTGTATGCATAAGATAATGGCATTCGGATTTTCCATGTGCGTTCTACTCATTTTTATGATATCATCCTTGGTTTCTCTAGCCATATCAACTGTGACCGTAGAGATAACGCCAGGAAGATCAACAAGAACCATGCGAGCCAAATTGGGACCTAAAAAAGAAAGCCGTCGGAAGGATAACGTAAAATACCGCGAAAAGGCGTACCTTTCACAGTAAGTGCTATCACCTCATTGGATACACTATGCCCATCCTTCACCGAGTTCCTCATGCGGACCTCAATTTCAGAGCGCAACTGTCGTAGATCCTCATCTTTTGATAGATCGAACTCACGAGTTGAGTCTTTGAACTGGGCCACATGGTATGGACCTTCGGAAAGGGTCACCTAGATACACGAGCAGATAAACGGCTGGAACCGATTGAATTTAGACCCGTTTACCTTGACCGGTGCTCGAGTCATCATCTCCCCTGAACCACGTGGAAAGATACGAGCTTGTGCCACCATTTCCAATACCGATGTTTTGCCTATAACAGTTTTGTGAGGTGTACAAAAGTAGCAATACAAACGTACCTGCGCTCTGATCACCCACGACCACAACTCGGGGCAAATTATCGGCGGTGTTATAGGAAGAATCATACTCACTGAGCAGATCTAGCACTTCAGAATACATATCAATTAGGGAGCGCTGAAACGAAGACAATAAATTATTGAAGCGCAGAAATAAGGGAGGTGAAACACTGCGAAGAGCTCATTAAATCGCACATCAACGCACAAAATCCAGTTCCACCAATAGGTAGGATCAAGTGCTCATAGCTTCTCGTTATAATCATAGCTCAAGAGTTTTGGCAAAAAATTAAGAGCACTTTTACTTCACCTTCAACCTTCGCATCCGCTTGACCGCACCTTGGTCGGCTAGCAGCAACCTTTGCTTCAGGACCTTGTTTTCCTTTTCCAGCCGCTCTAACTCTCGTTGATATTGACTCTGTAAACGTGTTATTTAGCGGTGACACGGAGTAATTAGCGATAATGTCACATTAGCCTCAACTGACGAAGATGCTCGTTTATGAAAAAAAAACCTATAGAAATAAAACGATACTCAAATGCATAACGTCGATGTAGAGTTAGACCAATCTATAGATCGAAATAGAGGTTCATGTTGTTCGCAGCTTGACTTTTTTAGGTGATTGAATGTCTTGATAGGCCTAGGGAATGGGTTTTTTCACCCTGTTCTTCTACTTCTCTATTTTGTTTAACTCCTGCGATTGAGACTGGCTGGGTTCTCGTTTTCTTCATAGTTGCTTTGTCTAATTTTTTTCTCATTTAAGGCGCATCATGAGTGTAATGAAAATAAAATAAATAAACAAAATAAAAATAGAGCTACCTGTGTCCTCAGCATCTCTTCTTGCAACTTTTGTATTCGTTCCTCAGCGCTTTCTTTCGCCTCTTCCTCCTCTTCATCCTTTCTTCCAAAAGCAGCCATGAACGCGAGCATCGCGGGTGCTAATATATAAACTACATGTAAAAGGAAAAACAAGATAACACCAATAAGCTACCTTTCAATTTGCTTTCCGAACTTTCTGAACTCTCCTCATTTTCGGCTTTAGCAAGCGCAGCTAAGTTAGATGCATTTGCAAAGGAAATATGGAGAGAAAAATGTAGAGAAAATATATTGAGATATCAATCTCACCCCTTCGTTCTCTACGATCTTGTCGATACTGTTCAAATCTAGCCCTCCACTGGGCAATTTTGGACTCAGAATCTGCTCCTCCAAACCCTTCACTGATACGCGAGAGCTGTTCGGATAGCTCCTGCCACGCATCCTTGCTCCACTCTGGCAAAGTGAAGTCAGGGAGACTTGCCTTCCACTCATCATACCACTAAAAAAGCTGACGTCGTGATCACGACTATATGCACAAAGCGATATTGCTACATCAGTGAGTTAACGAGAAAATGACTCACATTTCTAGCTGCGACGCTTCCTCCAATCACACCGGTGGCAACAAAATAGCGAAGCTTCAAAAAATGCCGGATAACTCCACCAACGAATTGCCTTTCCGCATAGATGTTCAAAACGAGCGGCTTATTTAGGAGTCTGAAAAAGGCTGAATCATGATTATTTCCCTGTTGATGTCAAAAAGGTATACTCTGGAGATGCCCAGTCGAAAGAATGATAAATATGCGGAGACTTTTCTCGAAATGATGCGTGCTTGCAGCTTCTGGGTCCTACGCCTGAAAACCTAGACGCTTCGCAGGGCTTCAGAATGGGCTGACCCCATCTACAGGAGAGGTTCGCGACTACCCATTTTACGTGTCTACTTACCCCATGCAGTTCCAAGCCCAATATTAACGAAAGAAGTTCACAAAAGAAACAGCATTCGTCACTGAAAGAACTGTACGCATATTCTATATCTGACTACAAGTATAGGAGAAAGACCCCCAAAGTCAGAATCTTGTGATTACCATCAGAGAACAATCGCCCGACTGACACTGTAAGCTTGCAAAAACTGAAAAACTAACCCTTTCCGTCCTCTGCCGTTGCCCGCACGTCTAGCAAGAGTCACTATGCCACGTGTACCACCAAGTGCCCGAAGTTGCATAGCGCCAGAGAAGGGCGCTTAGCATTAGTTTTTCCCTGAGATTTTATTCAGTCAATCAATCGATGTCTAACAACAAAAACAACCCACGCGACAAAGAGAGTACACAAAGACGCAAGATACATAATGAACCAAGATCTACTCTTGCTTCGCTTTGATATGATGCACTAAAACAGGAACCAAGGATAAAACAGCAAAGAAAGTTAGGAGCAAGATGGAGTTCAAGTTCCAAGCCACATTGGTATGTACCATTTCCTCTAAAGTAGAGCCAGCTTGTATGTACAAAAAGCTAGGAGGTGCTACACCAAGAAAGGTACCTATATAAAAATGAGCAATGGGAACATCAAGGACAGGACTAGCGATATTGATAAACCAATTAGGTAAAAATGGTGTTACGCGAAGAAATATGATGTAACTGAGTAGATTGTGCTTGTGTCGAGCGATATCTTCCTGCCATTTTTTTAACCTTTCGGGAAAATAATGCATAACAGTATCACGACCAAACAAGTACGATAAGAGGTAGCATATAGAAGCTCCAGTTGCAGAGCAAAAACAAACAAGAAGTAAAGCGATGGGAAATTTGAAGAGATATCCAGATAAGATTGTGAGAAAAATTGAGCCTGGGATCGCGAATGACTGTAACGCTATGTATACGACGATTACACCAAAGAAAACAGTAAGTATGTGCTGCTCTTTGTAGTGCGAAAGGACACGACCCAGATCTTTGGCATCTTCGAGATTTCTTGGGTATTTGAAACGTTTTCGATGCTCTTCGTCGAGTTCAGGAAAACTGTTGTAGATGATGAAGAGTAGAAGGGCAAATGTGACAAAAAGGCCACATACAACGGCCACCTTTTTCCGGAAGTCAACAAGCATTTCACTGAAACAAACTGTTACTTCCATTACTTTGCGATCACACTACAAGAAAGCAATGACTGACCAAACTACCTTCTTTTAAGGAGAAATTCTCGGATGAAAAATCTAAGAACTAACCTCAACGTTTCACTCGTGCCATTTTTTCAGTCACCGCAGTTCGCCAACTGAAATCAAGAGGACCAGAAATAATGTGACCCACGGAAAACTGATGCGTGCGTAGCCGTTCCTTTAAGAGGACACACATTCTCAATAGAGCGCAGAAAGCATTTACTTTCTGATCGGGCGAGTTACGACTACTTTTTTTCCAGAAAAAAGGTAAAATTGCTTGAGAGAATAAAGTTGTGTAAAAGTAGTCTTAGGACCTAAGGCCAGTGGGAACCTACAAAGTGCGTGGAGTGTAGATTGAGTATGAGATTGTTAGAGCAGAGTGTGTCAGTTCCCGTCAGCACTTTTATTGTTTTCGCTTTCCCAGGTTCAACGGTTGCACTGGAGCGTGTTTTCACGTGCTTTGAGTTTCCTTCACGTTGTGGTAAATCTTGTTTTCTTCCCTACAATTCGCAATCCATAGGGTGAGGGGTTTTGATTTTCGCGTCTGCTAAATCGTTCGCGTCTGCTGTGGAAAGAAAGAGCTCATTGACTGTGTGAGGGGGAAGAGGAGGGGAATAGAAGAGAAATGGATCACAAAAATCGAAAACATGATCTTTGCATCTTACAGGAAGCAAAAGGCAATCGGTGGTGCCAGTGGAACGAAGCAAAGATAGTGAGTCTCACAGGCTTGTATTTGTACTCAAAGTTTTGGTCACGCTTTTTTCTCTTGTCAAATGAAAACTTTCTCAGTGAGTATTGTTCCAGACGGTCAGTTGAATCTGAGGTGCAGAGTAATTCAATTGACAGCTGCGTTTCATGCACGCTGTGAAAATTTACGATTTATAGGTCGATGAGCGATGGACTAGCGATCTCTCCAGGCGCTTTGCATGGATCTTCTTATCGGTCGTGAAAAAGGGTGAGTAGCAATGGAAATTTGATAATGATGATATTGATCACAGAAAGTGCATAGGGCGCTATTCCACTTTTGCTGCGCAACAATGCAAATTTCGACTCTTTAAAAATGCCTGGGGTGTTCAACATATTGTTCAAGAAAACTGCATTCGTTGTGGTGGTAGGGTCACGAACTTGATATCCTTCTTTTATCGCCTTATGGCTTATGGTAAATGTGTACAGTCGAGTAGATTTAGCGGTAAATATAGTGTGCTTGCACAGAAGGTGAAATGCGGTGAAATTGGCGCGTGAAGAAATAGTTTCGACTGTGACGCCGGCCATTTGCGCGCGCAAGATACCCGCGGTACTGACGTGGCTACTTGTTCACGCGCAAATTTCACCGCATTTCACCTTCTGTGCAAGCACACTATATTTACCGCTAAATCTACTCGACTGTACATGGCACGCACGGGACAATCTGATTATAGTGAGAGTCACTTCGGCAAGTTTATGTTCGTAACCAGAAGTCAAGTAACCCCTCTACAAAGTTACATTGAATTCTGGGATCTTGAGCTCATACCGTTGAACCTAGGGCTCTGGCAGAAGAAGTCCCATCGTGTAGAATGAAATCCTTTTGTGATTAGCACTTTACAGCTCCCCGTAAGCAAAAAATGCAGCCTGAGTTTCCGATTTTTTCCGGTTTTCTGCATTTTTAAACAAATCGTCTAAAGAAATTCGGGTTATTTGGCTGAGGAGATAAACAAAGCACGAGACAATGTTTTTCGCTACTTGGGTAAAAAGCAGAACTCGTTGGGTCAACATTTATTAGAACGAAGATATATCAATCTGTTACTTGGATGTTCTTGCAGATTAGTCAGACAATCCCTAATCAAGAATACACTGTACGACGAACGTTTGGAAACTTTGCGCATTCTTCGTAAGCATCACATCGAAAATGTCTCCGCTGCCGTATCTTGTATGGCGATCGACAGAGTGGAGAATTCTTTGTAGGTGTTAACTCTTCAATACTCATGTTCATTTTATTTTTTTATTTTTGTTTTATTTTATATATTTTTTATTTCTGTTTTAGTTTATTGTGTGGTGGCATCTCAGGAGCACTCTACTTATCTAACCTCCTAGTAAGCGATTTTTTTGGTGGAGAGAGGAAAGAAAAGTTAACCCTGCCAGCGTCTTTGTAAGTGCTCATACTGCGCTGATGCTACAATCAAACTCATTTATACTTACAGCAGTCATAAACATTTTGTCACTGGCTGTCAATGGTATCGAGATATCCGTCTTTTCGTTTCTACGAGCTCATCTGGAGAACTTACGGTAGGTTGCAGGTTGTTCTTCTGCGTAGGATATACTCAGTCTAATCGCTGCTCTTCGGATAAAGACTTTTAGGCGCTATTCGGCTATCCGGGCCCCAAATTTTTTTTGTCATGGATTTCGCTCAAACTTGGCCCATAGTGGTTATCTGACATGCTGATCACAAATATCATTTTCTCCGCAGGAAAACGCCTCCGTGCCGGGTTACGGTAAGGATGCGGTAGGGGGTCAAAATCGTAGATTTCGCTGAAACTTGGCCTAGGGGGGGGGGTTATTCGGCCTGCTGATGCCAAATATCACATTGGTTTTGAACCGTAGCGTCAATTTGTCGAGTTACGGTAGCTACACGATAACGGGTGTAAAACATTGTTCTGCCTGAAACGCGTGTACGGCGATTCGGACAATCGTGAAGCTTTGCACACACGACCGCCGCCGCGCGCTACACACCCTGCTGCGGCTTTTGCCTAAGCAAAGCACAGGGGAAGATACATTTGCCGTTTTGTAGTTTTGACCTCTACCGTAAACCTACCGTAACCATGCAGAGAGACGTTTTCGTGCGGAGAAAGTGTGACATTTCTAATCAGCATGTCGAATAACCCCTCTGTGCGAAGTTACAGCGGATTTTGAGATTTTGACCCCCTGCCGTATACCCACCGTAATCCAAAAAATGACGCTACGGTACAAAACCAATGTGATATTCAGCATCAGCGGGCCGAATAACCCACCTAGACCGATTTTTAGCGAAATCTACGATTTTGACCCCCTACCGTATATCTACCGTAGCCCGGCAGGGAGGCGTTTTCGTGCGGAGAAAATGCGATATTCGTGATCAGCATGTCAGATAACCCCCCCCCGGGCCAAGTTTGAGCGAAATCCATGACAAAAAAATTTTGGGGCCCGGATAGCCGAATAGCGCCGACTTTTATCCTTATTATCAAAGCCGCAAAATTGTGGAGATCACATGCTTGCGATTTTGGGAAATTATACAGTTGCTTGCACTAAGCCATCATCTGTAGCGCTATAGAGGAGAGCAGGAGAGAGCAGTCGAACTATCACATAGCACAGAATCCGAAAACTTCAAAGAACCCAATTTCCATACATGATGAAATTATCGTACCTTGATCAATTTTCTTCAGGCTTGGGATCTGACTAGTCTTAGCGCTCTAGAGACCTACAATGTGTGTGAGAGTGGAAAGTGGCGCCCTCAGCTACACTGGAATGAAGTTGATAAAACCAATCCTCTTATTGCTATCACCAATGGGTCCAACAACGTTCCTTTATACGATTTGAGGTAGCTATGAACTTACTTTCACTTTTTTTGTCCATCTTGTTTATTACAGTAGGTCATAGAAAGATACCTCATTTTAGGGTTGGCGGGTTGGCTCAAGAAGTGCGTACGAAAAGGAAGACAGTAAGAGCAGTACGATGGCTGCCGTCTAAACACCACATCTTGTTTTGCGGTGACAATAATGGTTTGCTTTCTGTGTGGGATGTGAGGTTTGTTGCGATAATATAGCTTCAGTCTGAAACTCTGCACTCGTTTTGCTTTTGCTGTAGTAACGCTAGGCTTTTGTGTATAAGAACAAAGATCATCACCTCATTACCTTTTCGTTAGAAGCAACCGATCGGCTTTGGCATCAAGACTCATTAGACCCGGCAACAGCATCAGAGGAATTCGGGTGACATCGGATGGGAATCATTTGATTTTGGTTTTTTACAATGGTGAAGTTATTCTTTGCGATGCCGTTACGATGAAGGAACTAGCAATGTATCAGGTCACTGATTGTTTTTGGTTTCTGAAATAAGTCATGTGATTTGCTCAAGGGCAACGCAATAAGCTTACAAGCCAAAACAACATCGTTATTTCAGATCCACCGACATAGGCAATGGACCGAGAAGATGTCAAATGCTCTAGATCATTTTGCCATAAGTGATGAGGGTACTTCAGTCAGAGTGGCGCTCCCCGTTGGCGATGACATTGACTGGATACGCTTTTCTAGAGTGGGCTGTTTCGAGAAATGTAACTTCGACTTTTATCAAAATCTTTATAGGGATTTCGAGAAGAACAAAGTGTAACGCTCACTTCCACGCTATCCGCACATTTGTCCCGGGTTAATGCTTGCGTTTATCGTTATGGGTCCCAACAGGTCAGTTTTTCTGTTTGATATGGGAACATTATCTTTATCTATTGTATTTCTAAGCATTCATGCTGTAAATCCAAATTAGTTTTGATGAAATTAATCAAATTCAATTTTTAGTTGTTTCAAATTTACAGCTTTACACTGCCGGAGCGGATCGAAATGTGTTATGTTGGGCTCCAGAATGTGAAAGGAAACGTTTGCAACTTGAAGCTGAGTCGGTAAAAGTCTCTGCAATCACGAACGATGATTGGAGTGATGACGACTGATGCTCAGTGGACTAAAGAGATACTTCTGTTGGTTATAAAGGATCTCAATATCTCTTTGCTACACTTTTACTGTAAATATCGTACATTGTCTGATAATATCATGTTGACTATGCACATCATCAACTTACTGGGTATAGAGGTGTTTAGCTATAGGCTGTGGCTCAGGTATTTATTCTTTTCATTTATAATATTTAGAGATGTATTTTTTGTAATAAACTCCACGATGTGAAATAACTTCTAGTTGCAGTCATTGTGGCAGTGTGATTGTCAGTAAGCTTGCGTAAACAACCCAGTTCGATATTCGCAGAAAGATTCAAAACAAGAAAAAAAATCATAGTGGGGGACCTTATTGTGACACAACCGTACATCGCAGAGCATTATTTAGGCGTTTGTAAGAACTAAAGAACAAACAATGTCCGTCCCAGCTGGCACCACTAGCAGTCCGAGAAATTTTCTTCAAAGGTGCTGTTGATAATTTTTTATCCTTGTGAACGGGCGTCGCTAATGTTACGCCCTTCGCAAAAATCGGGAGGATTTTAACTTTCCGCGTGCATACATACCTCATATATCAAAACTAGCGACCCTACGGGTCGCCAGCAAGTGGGTCGGGGCAGATACATATAAGGGCTTAGGTTTGACTAAAAATATTTCTAAATAAGTTTCCTGTTCCTTTCCTGAGAACATTTTTGCGAAAAGCATTCCACAAAAGGAGAACTGCTCGAAAAAGCGATAATCTCCACAAATCATTCAGCATTTCTCGAATTATTTCTATCTCGTTTACACGCTTTTCATGCAAATTTCCCTCATCACAGAGACATTCAGATAAACCCCCCCCCCCCCCACTTTCTTCAGTTCTTCTCAGCAAGTTCCATAAAAGATCGTTGAGTAAGTAGCAGAACATATGTTTTGGAAGTAGAAATACACCATAATAATTATGTGTATTACAAAAAACACTTTTCTCTCAGAATCAGTTCCGACAGCAACGAAATCAATCGTCTAAGAACTTTGTCAAAGAATCCTTCAATTTTTTCGCCAAAGGAATATGAAGCTTTACTACATAAGTAGATCCCTCCCCGAAAAGCACATTACTGAGCCACCTAAAGACTGTCAATCATAAGAACTGCATAAACGTACAAAAAATTTCTTTCCCTGTCCGATCAAATTGCCCTACGGGCCAATTACAAACCAATTATCTATTTGAAAGAAAGTTCATGCCCTATGTGCCGCTTGAAGACCGTTAAAAAATTACAAGAACTGCCATAACATACAAAAATCTGTTTCCCTGCCCGATCGAGTTGCCCTACGTGCCGCTTACAGACCGAGAGTAACTATTCAAAATGAAAGTTTATTCCCTACGTGCCGCTTGAAGACCGGTAAGAAATTACAAGAACTGCCATAACATACAAAAATCTGTTTCCCTGCCCGATCGAGTTGCCCTACGTGCCGCTTACAGACCGACAGTAACTATTCAAAAAGAAAGTTTATACTTTACGTGCCGCTTGAAGACCGTTCAGGAATTATAAGAACTGCCCCAAACGTACAAAAATCTGTTCCCTGCCCGATCGGGTTGCCCTACGTGCCGCTTACAGACTGAGAGTAACTATTCAAAATGAAAGTTTATTCCCTACGTGCCGCTTGAAGACCGGTAAGAAATTACAAGAACTGCCATAACATACAAAAATCTGTTCCCCTGCCCGATCGGGTTGCCCTACGTGCCGCTTACAGACCGAGAGTAACTATTCAAAATGAAAGTTTATTCCCTACGTGCCGCTTGAAGACCGGTAAGAAATTACAAGAACTGCCATAACATACAAAAATCTGTTCCCCTGCCCGATCGGGTTGCCCTACGTGCCGCTTACAGACCGAGAGTAACTATTCAAAATGAAAGTTTATTCCCTACGTGCCGCTTGAAGACCGTTCAGGAATTATAAGAACTGCCCCAAACGTACAAAAATCTGTTTCCCTGCCCGATCGGGTTGCCCTACGTGACGCTTACAGACCGAGAGTAACTATTCAAACTGAAAGTTTATTCCCTACGTGCCGCTTGAAGATCGGTAAAAAATTACAAGAACTGCCATAACATACAAAAATCCGTTCCCCTGCCCGATCGGGTTGCCCTACGTGCCGCTTACAGACCGACAGTGACTATTCAAAAAAAAGTTTATACCTTACGTGCCGCTTGAAGACCGTTCAGGAATTATAAGAACTGCCCCAAACGTACAAAAATCTGTTCCCTGCCCGATCGGGATGCCCTACATGCCGCTTACAGACTGAGAGTAACTATTCAAAATGAAAGTTTATTCCCTACGTGCCGCTTGAAGACCGGTAAGAAATTACAAGAACTGCCATAACATACAAAAATCTGTTCCCCTGCCCGATCGGGTTGCCCTACGTGCCGCTTACAGACCGAGAGTAACTATTCAAAATGAAAGTTTATTCCCTACGTGCCGCTTGAAGACCGGTAAGAAATTACAAGAACTGCCATAACATACAAAAATCTGTTCCCCTGCCCGATCGGGTTGCCCTACGTGCCGCTTACAGACCGAGAGTAACTATTCAAAATGAAAGTTTATTCCCTACGTGCCGCTTGAAGACCGTTCAGGAATTATAAGAACTGCCCCAAACGTACAAAAATCTGTTTCCCTGCCCGATCGGGTTGCCCTACGTGACGCTTACAGACCGAGAGTAACTATTCAAACTGAAAGTTTATTCCCTACGTGCCGCTTGAAGATCGGTAAAAAATTACAAGAACTGCCATAACATACAAAAATCCGTTCCCCTGCCCGATCGGGTTGCCCTACGTGCCGCTTACAGACCGACAGTGACTATTCAAAAAAAAGTTTATACCTTACGTGCCGCTTGAAGACCGTTCAGGAATTATAAGAACTGCCCCAAACGTACAAAAATCTGTTCCCTGCCCGATCGGGATGCCCTACATGCCGCTTACAGACTGAGAGTAACTATTCAAAATGAAAGTTTATTCCCTACGTGCCGCTTGAAGACCGGTAAGAAATTACAAGAACTGCCATAACATACAAAAATCTGTTCCCCTGCCCGATCGGGTTGCCCTACGTGCCGCTTACAGACCGAGAGTAACTATTCAAAATGAAAGTTTATTCCCTACGTGCCGCTTGAAGACCGTTCAGGAATTATAAGAACTGCCATAACATACAAAAATCTGTTTCCCTGCCCGATCGGGTTGCCCTACGTGCCGCTTACAGACCGAGAGTAACTATTCAAAATGAAAGTTTATTCCCTACGTGCCGCTTGAAGACCGGTAAGAAATTACAAGAACTGCCATAACATACAAAAATCTGTTTCCCTGCCCGATCGGGTTGCCCTACGTGCCGCTTACAGACCGAGAGTAACTATTCAAAATGAAAGTTTATTCCCTACGTGCCGCTTGAAGACCGGTAAGAAATTACAAGAACTGCCATAACATACAAAAATCTGTTCCCCTGCCCGATCGGGTTGCCCTACGTGCCGCTTACAGACCGAGAGTAACTATTCAAAATGAAAGTTTATTCCCTACGTGCCGCTTGAAGACCGTTCAGGAATTATAAGAACTGCCCCAAACGTACAAAAATCTGTTTCCCTGCCCGATCGGGTTGCCCTACGTGCCGCTTACAGACCGAGAGTAACTATTCAAAATGAAAGTTTATTCCCTACGTGCCGCTTGAAGACCGGTAAGAAATTACAAGAACTGCCATAACATACAAAAATCTGTTCCCCTGCCCGATCGGGTTGCCCTACGTGCCGCTTACAGACCGAGAGTAACTATTCAAAATGAAAGTTTATTCCCTACGTGCCGCTTGAAGACCGGTAAGAAATTACAAGAACTGCCATAACATACAAAAATCTGTTCCCCTGCCCGATCGGGTTGCCCTACGTGCCGCTTACAGACCGAGAGTAACTATTCAAAATGAAAGTTTATTCCCTACGTGCCGCTTGAAGACCGTTCAGGAATTATAAGAACTGCCATAACATACAAAAATCTGTTTCCCTGCCCGATCGGGTTGCCCTACGTGCCGCTTACAGACCGAGAGTAACTATTCAAAATGAAAGTTTATTCCCTACGTGCCGCTTGAAGACCGTTCAGGAATTATAAGAACTGCCCCAAACGTACAAAAATCTGTTTCCCTGCCCGATCGGGTTGCCCTACGTGCCGCTTACAGACCGAGAGTAACTATTCAAAATGATTGTTTATTCCCTACGTGCCGCTTGAAGACCGGTAAAAAATTACAAGAACTGCCATAACATAAAAATTCTGTTTCCCTGCTCGATCGGGTTGCCCTACGCGCCGCTTACAGACCGAGAGTAACTATTCAGAAAGAAAGTTTATGCCCTACGTGCCGCTTGAAGACCGTTCAGGAATTATAAGAACTGCCCCAAACGTACAAAAATCTGTTTCCCTGCCCGATCGGGTTGCCCTACGTGCCGCTTACAGACCGAGAGTAACTATTCAAAATGATTGTTTATTCCCTACGTGCCGCTTGAAGACCGGTAAAAAATTACAAGAACTGCCATAACATAAAAATTCTGTTTCCCTGCTCGATCGGGTTGCCCTACGCGCCGCTTACAGACCGAGAGTAACTATTCAGAAAGAAAGTTTATGCCCTACGTGCCGCTTGAAGACCGTTCAGGAATTATAAGAACTGCCCCAAACGTACAAAAATCTGTTTCCCTGCCCGATCGGGTTGCCCTACGTGACGCTTACAGACCGAGAGTAACTATTCAAAATGAAAGTTTATTCCCTACGTGCCGCTTGAAGATCGTATATATAAAAAGCCAATTTTACGACTCTACAGAAAGAGAACAACGAAATCAAGTATTTACAGCGTATTTTCAAACTGCCATCTTTGGACTTTGTGCAGTGTGGGATATTGTATCCCTTGAAGGTGGTTCAGTGGTTTTGAATATTTATTAGATCGAACTGATATACACAGCTGCTCTTTGTGAGCTACAGAAGAGAACACTGGCGTAGGGCTGACCCCTTGATAAGGGCCGCCTCTACGCGAAACACTATTGTGCTATTTACTCATGATAATGCTGAGAACAGCAAACATACAGCATACGACAACAACTAGGTTTGAAGGTTCTGATACCAGATCAGAACACTCCGGCCCGCACAAACAATAACAGCAATGTAACAATAAATTAATGAATGCAATAATGATTAAGTTGGGTTCGTCAAATCCTTCTTACTGATGGCTTCTGCTCCTTGCCCATTTTCGCTTGCAATAAAGTTGGTCCTTGCCCATTTCGCTTGCAATTGATTCGGTCCTTGCCCATTTCGTTTGCAGTCATCGTTGTTGATCCGGAGTAGGCGATTGAGAGGCGGAGGACGTTGGAGGGGAAGAGTTGAAGGTGACGAAGGGTAGAAGGAGATGAAGAAGTGACGATGGAGAAAAAATGAAGAGTAAGACCAGCACAAATACTACCAATTCGATAGTACTTGACACTAATCTTACGATATTGTTTTTTAACCGAATGCGATAGCATGCGGCTGCGCCGGGGCGAGCGGTGAACTTTTTTTATACGTATACTCACCGCTTTTTCGAAGCTATTCACGACTTCTGCATAAGAGTATGGATATCACTCTGGCCAGTGTGGTAACTACTGACCTTGTTATATGCAGTGCGATTTTTACTACAGCGATAGCTACTGAAATTGTCACTTTGGCAATTAGGAAAACTACTGAGGGACCGAATAAGTACGTCATCCCTACAAGAACCGCTGTTACCCCGAAAGTAGCTATGGCCAGTTTCCAATGTGCTTTCAACGTATCGATTAGTGGGCTTAGATCGGGCATGTCAATGTCATAGAATGGATTTCCTCCAGCAAGTTCTTTAGCATCTGTCTGCGATACAGTGTTTGTCATGACTCCGGGATGATAATTAAGTAAACCATCCAGAAGGACTGTCTTTTTCATTTCACCGCAAGTTACAAAGCAGTTTTCTGAGATTATAGCGTGGTCAAAATCGAGTGATAGTTGAGTAGAAGTATTTGTTGGACCACATTCGATTGAAAAGACGTGGTGCTCACATTGTACCGTAACCCACGAATCTTCTACAGCTTCACATGATAATTCGATTTTTGCGCCTTCGTTGCAGCTGTAGCAGCCTTTGATCTTACCAGCTGATATTTTGCATGGTTGATCGATTACGTATTGGGCGCCTCCTATCATCAGGTTTGACTGTATAGCAAGGGTTATTTCTGCCTCCTTGGAGAACGCGTAGACGTCGTTGCCTTCGACATTGATTTCCGTAAAGGAAGTGTGTATCGGAAAAACGTTTGCCACCTGTTTGCGCAGTGACTGCAGTGAGTTTGGTGGACATTGACAAGACTGTGGTGCCTTGAAATTTTCGCAGGAACATATCATACGATTAGTACAGTTTGCGAAATGCTCAGCTGCTGTTTCTTCTGAGTCACATTCAACCGGTAATTGATAATAGTCTGGTAGAATGATGGATTCGCGTGAACTAAGTGCGAACCTCTTGTCCATCAACGGAGAATGGGGTTTCACTATGGAAATCACTGTTAGTGAGATCTCCTCATGCTTATGCATCAGGTACGGCTCGAGATCAAATTGCTTGATCTTTCCTTTGTTGTACAACATGAAATCCATCTCTATCTGAATGACTGGTTTCCATTCAATGCAGTTCACAATTTCGTAAACCGTGTCTGATATTGGCACGTGAGCTATTCGCAAGAATGTGCATGCTGGGACTGGAAGTAAGCAACCGCACACTATGCCTCCGCATGTAGCATCACACATCGAATATCCTGGGAAGTGCGATGAGGCGTTCAGTTCCGGAACTATCTCATCGGGTCTTAACCTGCTGCATTTTGAATACGTGCAAGATCCCGCTTCAGCGCATCTCGTGGCATAGTAGACTCTGTGCATGGTTTCTCTAGTGAAGAAAAGAGAAACCTTTGAGCACTTCAGCTTCATCGGTCTCATGCGTAGTTTCATGAGTCCTATCGTCTTGTTTGCATGAATGATTTCTATGCACAGATTCGAAGTTATTCTGTTGAATAGTACTTCTTCGCTGTAAGTATAGGTGCAGTTTTTCTTTGAATCACATACTACTTCCACTGTATGTCTCATGTAGCCGTGCTGGCATCCACTGACCGCGTTAATCAAGGTCAGGATGGTAATGCAAGCAATGGTAGCGGTTCTCGTTCCGATCGGCTGAGGAAGGAATTGGTTCATTGGAGCTTGTTCTCTGCTGCCATTTTGAGAAACACAACGCTTTCGAGAGAATATTGTGGTTTTACAAAACCAAATAGTTGCTAGTATAATTACTGTTGAGATGTATAAACTAGCTGCAAGTGTCATAATGGCTCCCATCGGCCAGCAGTGGGGATTGCCGATCAACTCTATGCTCATCAAGCTTGCCGATTTCTCGCAGAAATCTGGAGGATCGCAATATGCAGTTGCGTAAACGACTCCTTCTTCGCTAGGTGATCGAAGTACGATCATACTACTACTTGATAATGATGATTTTGGGAGTTCAAACTCATGGAAGGACATGTTTGACAGCATACTGCATACCTTGTTTACGCATAGTTCGAATTTGGATGCAGTTGATGCTATTCTCACATTCCCTTTATTGCACACTATGCTACTACTATATGCTGCAGTCGGACTGACGGCTGAAAGCGCCATAAGCGTTAGTAGTAGGTATGTAGGCAGATGCGGACTTCTGGATGTTGAAGGTTCTTCGAGGCTTCTTTCAAACTGTTGAATCACCTCTAAAGCTCGAGTCTTTGACTTTCTAGGAGCTAAGGCTCTTTTCTGCTTTGTGGGCAAACTTTCATTGCTTTGTTCAAATGCCGTTTCTTCGTTTGGTCTACTCTCAAGTTCCTGAGTAGCAGCTTCCGGCACACTTTGTATTTCCAGCGGGAACAGTTTGTTAAGCGGTCTTTGTATCACTCTCTGGTTTGGCATCAGTATTTTTGCTGTTCTGATGTGGCCGTCTGCGCTTACCATTGTTTCTAGCACTTTGCCATAGGACCAATGACCCCTAGGTATAAAGTCCTGTTCAATGAGCACGATCTCTCCAACTCTTGGAATACCAGATCCGTGTCGTGGCTGTTTAAGTAAAATTCTCTGAGTGTCTCTCAATGTTGTGAGATATTCCTTACTCCATCTTTCCCAAAATGAAGTAGCTATGTTTTCGGAAAAGTGCATTGCTTCTTGAGCTTGCACGACTGTTTGCAGCAGGTCTGGATCAAATGGCATGTCGCCTGCACCGAAGTGTAGAGTGGCCTCTGGCACTGAATACTTCAGATTTCCTTGCAAAAAATCTATTGGTCGTAATGGTATCTCGTCTATGTCAGACGAGCTGACCTTGGTCAATGGCCGTGTGTTAATGATAGCCTCAATTTTTGTCATCACGGTAGACATTTGCTCAAATGACAGCTTTTTCCTCCCGATGCATTTCTGTAGGCAACGTTTCACAGATCCAACCATTCTCTCCCAAACGCCGCCCATCCATGGGGAAGCTGGAGGATTGAACACCCATTTTATACCTTCGGATGCGCAATAGTTCATGACGGTTTCGTGAGTGTCTTCATTCGCAGTGAAGAGGTTTTCGATGACTTTCTGTCCCAATTTAAAGTTGGTACCACAGTCAGATCGTATCATTTGTGGCACTCCTCGACGAGAAATGAAGCGCACAAAACTATTTAAAAAGGCTGCAGTTGATAAATTTTCAACTACTTCCAGATGCACGGCCCTTGTCGTAAGACATGTGTATAAGCAAACGTACATCTTTTCTTTTTTGTCCGTTTCGAACGGACCCATGTAATCACAACCTACATTGGCAAACGGTTTAGTGATTACAACTCTATCTGCCGGTAGTGGCGGCATCTCCGGGGCCCCAAACGGTAAGCCGTGGCACTTTCTGCATACTACGCAACTGCGTAAGTATTTCTTTATCACGCGAGAGGGTTGTGGTATCCAGAATCGTTGTCTTGCCAACGCTAATGTCTGGTCTTTACCACAGTGAGCATTGGCACGATGTAGGTCATGAATAATTAGCCGCGCAAGCTCGGAATCATTTGGAATAAAGATTGGCATCTTCGTGTCGTAAGGCAGGCTTGCATTTTGCAGCCTCGATCTGTAGCGAATTATGCCATGTTGGTCCTTGAAGACCTTTTGATTAGGAAATCTTTTTTGCAGAAGTTGTAACTGCACGGCATCGTGCATCGCTGCAATAATGTTTCGCTCTGCAATCATCATGTCTGTGGCTGTGATGTGGTCGTCGGTCTCATACGCCGAAAGTACGTCTAGTGAAATAGACGTTGACCTTGCTTGATTACAGCGCTGTGTCCACCGTTTGAGCAGCTTTCCAACTCTCGCAAATGTGCGAAGAGCAGTCTTATACCGCGAAAAGCGCTGTAGGTCAATGACCACACGAGATGGTAACGGTGCGTCAACTATGATTTCAGCAGCGACTTGTTTCTTGTCATCAATTTCCTCATAAGAGTAATCTGAGCGTAGGCTGTCAATGGACTTGAGCAGCCATGATTGCGGGTCATTTTCTAACCATTTTGGTCCTCTCACCCAGTCATGCTCACTACCCGCCATAGCGGTGATACCACGAGTTCCAACGTCGGCTGGATTATGCTGAGTTGCAATGTGGTAAAAATGCACAGGTACACATCTTGATTCCAAGTGCGCTTTCAATTTTGAAATTCGCTCTTTTTGGTTACTGACAAACGTTGGCAGTTTGCGTGAAGATTTGATCCAGAAAAGCGCAATTTCGCTATCACTGGCAATGTTTATAGCACATAGTTGAGTAGTGATTGCCTGCAGTATGTTGTTTGCCATTCGAAGGGCAATGAGAATACCCAACAACTCCAGACGTGGAATAGTTTGCTGAGTCTTTTTTGGAGTTAGTTTGCTCTTTCCACTAATCAGCTGACTGACCTTGTTACTGCTCTCGCACCTAAGATATGCGCATGTTGCGACTGCCATCTTACTAGCATCACAGAATACCCAAAGGCTGACTTTTGAGCTGTTGAAGGTCGACTGCAACAGTAGTCGAGGTACCTTGATTGATGCGTTGTTTACCTCTTGAAGTGTAAGGTTCCATTTTTCACACAGTTTTTCTGGAATCTTATCTTTCCAATCTATTCCAGTGGCATAGATTTCTCTCATTAAGGACTTCATTTTAATGAGTAACGGAGCGGCTAGTCCAATAGGATCGTAGACCGAATTCACTTGGCTGACAATATCGCGTTTGGTGAGACTCTGCTTCATTTGCGCATTTACATTCACCATGAATTCGTCAGCGCGAATGTCATATTTTACGCCAAGAAATTTCATGTTTCCTGGAGGAGCCCTGTCATGTTCTGGGATGGCCGCGTTTACTTCGGCTGAATTTGACACGTACTCTCTCAAATTCATTCCGATTTCTTGAAATATTCGCTTGGACTCCGCGTACTTAGCGATTGCTTCCTCAACAGTATCAGCAAGAAGTAAGATGTTATCCACGTATATGTTTTTTGCAATCTCCAACGACAATGGAGTATTCTTGTGGTTCAAGTAGGCAAGTATAGCCATATTCAGAATACTTGGCGCTGATGTGTTACCGAAAGGTAAGCGGTTGAAACGATACTCGACTATGTTTTCTCGAGTTGCCTGCTTTTTGACATTTTTTAGCCAGAGAAAACGGCATAGATCTTTGTGCTCGTTTACAAGCCTTATTTGCGTGAAGGCTGCTTCAATATCGCACAATACAATGATCTTGCTTGTTCTACTTGCAATCAGGATGTCGTGTATTTTGTTTACAAATGACTCTCCTGTGTGAATTACATCGTTTAGTGACAGTTGTGCAACTCTTTTCGAAGATGCATCAAACACGATTCTCAAAGGTTTGGGCTTTTCTGGTCGCCAAACCCCCGAATGTGGCATGTAGTAAGTGCCAACCGCATTGTAGTGCTGCTTACACACTTCTTCGACCACATCTTTTTGGATGTACTCGGTCATGATTTTCTCGTACCATTCACGCTGGTAGTCGCTGTTGGCTGGCTGACGCTGCAGCGAAATTAGTCGTCGATATGCAATGGCGTAATTATCTGCCAAATCGACTATGTTGTCCTTCAAAGGAAAAGGAACAGTAACAACACCGTTTTCAAATGAAATGGATTTCGAATAGTTTGTGAAATAGTCAAATGTGTTGTCATCTTTAGCACATTCATCCGCTGATATTCCTAAGCCATCAAGCTCGAATATCTTTTGCAAAAGTTCTGTTTCGGTTTGTTCTTGGACCAAAGTGAGACCGTGTACTATGTTAGATTCATCATTTGATAGGTGTGTTGAGCCTTTACCGTGTATCGTTGGTCCAAATACTGTGTGCGCGATGCGCAATCCAGATGGCAAAGTCACAGTATCTACTGAATGTACGAGCTCGTAATAATAGTCGAGACCGACTAGTATTTGCGGGTTTTGATGTTCGCCGCGCACTCGTGGATTACACACGTAAATACCCTTATCTTGAAGATATTGCTTGTCGAAGTCGACGAGCCGTACCGAAGAAAAACCGTTGGTAATGATCGGTTTTGTCTGAATCGTCAAATTCAGCTCTTTCCCGAAAGCATTGCTGATTTTCAGTGATACTATATTAGTTTGGTATTTTTCGGTGTGTCCACCTATACCGGACATAGTGCAAATCTCAGTTGTTTGCGTGGCTAGTCCAAAATCTTTGGCTGTCTGCTCGCGAATGATAGTCTTTTGCGCTCCTGTATCGAAGAAGAATAGGAGCTTTTCAAATTGTCCACTGTTATGATTCCAGACATTTCCCTCTGCTGTCATGAGGACAATTTGTTCTCTTTTCTTGTCGATATGAACATGATTTTCAGCTGTGTAATTGTTTCTCTCGGCAATAGCTTGTGAAACATTGCGCTGATCTCTCCTTGCGGTATTACCGCCGCGGGGATTGTAAGGATAACGTGGAGCAGAAGAATTGTCTGCTCTGGGTGCAATATTAGATGCCCCTTGGTTACGCAATCTACTTGGGGTGCTATATCTAGCATTGCTCCCTTCGTTAGAATTCGATGCGCAAAGACTTACGTCGTGTGGCCTGCCACATTTGGAACAGTTTGATTTGCGGCAGTCAAAGCTACTGTGCTTGTTCGAAAAACATTTCCAACATACGTTGCCGTCTTTGACAAGTTCGCGTCTCCTTTTCGCATCAGGGACTGTTCTGCAGTTTGCAGAAACATGATCGTTCCGATCGCAAAAGTAGCATGATTTCACCTGTTGTGGTGTTTCTGGAGTATTGTTGCTGGTATGCCGCGCAATGGGCTTACTTTCAAACTTTGCATGGTTTCTGAGGCGAGTGTCAACAAACCGCTTTGCGTTGATCTCTCTTTCAAGACTGTCCATGAGTTCTTCAATCTTGACCTCGTCTTTTTCTTGTAATGAAACAAGAACATTTTTGACTATAGTATAAGGAAACTTCTCCAAGATTTTCTCTGTCCATAATGCGTCTTGCATCTGGTCGATATTTTGTCCAGCGGATATCATCTGGTTCATTAGCATGCGTATCTTATCAAATATATGCATACAACCGTCCGCAGTATTCTTTGCAGCGGGCAGATCGATTAGTTTCTGCACAATTTTTGCTCTATTGATTGGTTTGTTACCGAATTTCTTTTTTAGAGCATTTAACATCCATTCGTAGTTGGATGGAATTAACTGTATGCCTTTTACGGCTAAATCTGCTCTTCCTCTCAAGCTGTCTTTTAGCAGCATCATTTTTTCGACTGTGCTAAGATACTTGCTTTGATGTACGAGCGTTGTATATATCGCCCAAAACTCCGGAAACTCTTCTTCATCCCCATAAAAACGTGGAACTTTGAGCTGTTTTGGTTTCAGAGTACGACAGATCACATCTTCGTCGTCTTCTCTGCTTCTCATTGAAGGTGTGTTTTCCTCCGTAAGCCAGCTGGCATCTTCTGGCGCTATTGTTAGTACTTCCATTTGTTCTGCAACACCCGACTCCAACGTTGCCTGTTGGGGTGAGTTTATCTCATGCAGGAGTGTTGGTTTTGCTTTTTTGGGTTCTTCTTTGTTTATTCCCAATTTTCTAGCAAGTTTACCCATTTGATTCCGAGCTTCTGTAGCTCTGGCATTGAGTATGTAGATCAGTTCATTCGCCTTTGCGATCTTTTCTGTGAAGCCTGTGTCTTTTTCAATCTCTTCGACTTCATTCACAAGTTCTTTTTTGTTGCCTTTTGCTCTGGCCTCATCGTACTCTTTTTGTAGTTTATCAATGAGTGACTGGAGGGCATTTCTGCTCATTTTGAGGTTGTCTATACCTCCAGAAATCAAATTTGCGGCGCTCAGATACTCATCGTATTGTTCCTCTTCTGTTCCAGATGCTTTAACCTCTTCTGAGTAGGAAGCGTATTTATCCAATAACGACTGGAGTGTTTTTGAGCTAAGCTCTATCGGTTTTTTGTGAAAAATTAGAGCCATTGATTCTTTTTTTTTTGTGATGTTAGCACCACGAAGTGTCGTTTATTACACGCTAAGTATCGACTTTTGCCTACGGTACTGTTGGCAGTAAATGTTGTGTGATTGCTGCCAGCCGTGTATGTACTGGGCTTACGTCTGCCAGGGATGATAGCCTGGACTAAGTTGCTAGGGCAAGTGTCCTAGACTTTTGCCAGGGATGATAGCCTGGTCTTGTTCGATTCACTAGGGAATCTCGACTAAATTATATAGCCGATGCCAGATATGGGCTGTCTGGACTTGTTCGATTCGCTAGGGAATCTCGATTGAATTGTTCAACCGATGCCAGATAAGGATGGTCTGGACTTGTTCGATTCACTAGGGAATCTCGATTGAATTGTTCAACCGATGCCAGATAAGGATGGTCTGGACTTGTTCGATTCACTAGGGAATCTCGATTGATTTGTTCAACCGATGCCAGATAAGGATGGTCTGGACTTGTTCGATTCACTAGGGAATCTCGATTGATTTGTTCAACCGATGCCAGATAAGGATGGTCTGGACTTGTTCGATTCACTAGGGAATCTCGATTGATTTGTTCAACCGATGCCAGATAAGGATGGTCTGGACTTGTTCGATTCACTAGGGAATCTCGATTGATTTGTTCAACCGATGCCAGATAAGGATGGTCTGGACTTGTTCGATTCACTAGGGAATCTCGATTGATTTGTTCAACCGATGCCAGATAAGGATGGTCTGGACTTGTTCGATTCACTAGGGAATCTCGATTGATTTGTTCAACCGATGCCAGGGATGATAGCCTGGGCTTTTTCAAACTTACTTGGAAAAAATCGACTGATTGATTTAAGCCGATGCACCAAAATGTGCAGTGTGGGATATTGTATCCCTTGAAGGTGGTTCAGTGGTTTTGAATATTTATTAGATCGAACTGATATACACAGCTGCTCTTTGTGAGCTACAGAAGAGAACACTGGCGTAGGGCTGACCCCTTGATAAGGGCCGCCTCTACGCGAAACACTATTGTGCTATTTACTCATGATAATGCTGAGAACAGCAAACATACAGCATACGACAACAACTAGGTTTGAAGGTTCTGATACCAGATCAGAACAGACTTCCAATTCTGAGAACTGCCCCAAACGTACAAAAATCTGTTCCCTGCCTGATGGAATTGCCCTACGTGCCGCTTACACACCGATACCCACGAAAAAAAGCAAGGCTGTTGTTAGATAAACGCTTCTAAAAGTACCAGCGAGATTAAGTTATTCACGCACTCTTTTGTCTACACTCGGAAGCAAGATAATTTTGAAGTGACTGTTGTTAGAGCATTTTTACGAAGATTTGAGAATATTTGAGAATATAGATGAATTTAGCTCAGGTCATGCTTTCACGCGATTTTGGCATTATTTCAAAAGCAACTAATAGGAGTAGAACATGTTTGAAAAACACATTCTGGGATAACAAGTTCGATTTCAAAAAGGTGGGACAAATAACACACCCAGACACTGGCGACACAGTCTCAAAATTATTGCGACACTCATTGACCCTTTTACGAAAATCTGCTTGGTCACTCGTTATGAAATTTGGCAGCGTTCCAAAATGCATGCCACTTGGCAGCAATCCAATTCCAAAGATCAGTGTATTTCATCATAATTTTTACGTCTGCGCCCTCCTCGTTTGCCATAATCCAACTATCAGAGGGTTAATGGGTAAACAACGAATTCGTTATATATCACGTAGTGATCGTAGAGGAAAGAGGTGTGACGGTAGTCACTCCCCCCTCTTTTTTTTTGAGAGACTAGTTATTGAGCTGATAAATTTTACTAATTATCTGCAAGTGAAAACAAGTCACTTAAGCAATGACATTGAGTCATCTACGCAACTTCAAAAATACCGTTAGGATCCAGCATAAGCGGCCTAACCTTTCTTCGTCATTCTGTGTGCAAAAAAAAGCTTCCAATGAATCAAAATCACTTCGCTGGAATCTTGCCCTGGAGGTCACTTGTCGCGCTGATTACGAAAACCATATAGGGTGTACGAAAAGTGTGTACACATGTTTGATCACCAGTATCCTTCTTCCCACACAGCCTCTTGCCACGTTTAGGTACCATTCTTTAAAATTGGCTTTGACTTAGATTTACAGTGTGTTGCGCATACTGATCTTTCTTCATAAATGTAGGATTACGGGAGAAAATTCCTGCATAGAGCGTTATTGTAAATTCAGCTGTTCCAAATAATAATTTAGAAAAAATCTTGAAAGTTGTGTTGCAAGGTTTTCTCGCCTGCTTCGCCCTTCTACACTAATGAAGAGCGAGTGTTCGCACAAGACTTCGATCTACAGGGCATCCGAAAAATCCTGACAATGGCGCGACCGCGCGCGTCACGCACGCACCTCCGGCAACCGCAATGTTTTGGTTTTCATTGATACTTGAATGGTTTTTTAGCTCACGTACGTATATCTGAACCCTGGAAGTGGTTGAGCTGAGTGTTAGGTGATGCCTTTTGTATGGTGTTTTAGCTCTTGCGAGGCGCAAAATCGCAGTCAAATCCGTCGACATGCCTTCAAAAATTACCTAGAGCTTGAAAGTTCTGCAGAAAGGTACCGAAACTTCGACACAAGACATTGCAGAAAGAGGGATATCAAATCAACAGTATAGTGTGTACTACAAACTTTTGGCTATCCTGTGTTCATCTGCTCGGTAGCGCTATTTGGTGGTGTTGCGCGATAAGTTTAGAAGTGATTTGGTCAGGTCGGAATTTGCTCGAAAGTTTGTTTGAAGCTGTGCCTTGGCAATGACTTTTATGATAACAACCAGCCGCTCTCTGCCGCTAGGCGGCAGATTCGGCTGGTACTCGTCAGCTTCTTTGCCTCGTATATCTTTCGTTGCGCTCTGTATTGTGCAAATGTGACAATTTGCTAGTGACTAGTGAACCAGCAATTGAAGGTGCTGGTAGCATGCGCGCGCTACGGGACCGCCACGTGATTTTCCGCTATGTGCACATTTTTGAATTGCATTTACGATTCTTTATATATTAGTTTTTGATAGTTGCACGAAACACTTCAATTTAATCTAGGTATGTAGATCAGGGTAAATGAGGACACAATTGTGGCCTCTCAATTAGACTTGAGATAGTATTCTAAGCAACAGGCAATGCTTGGTCAACAACATAGAAGGGCTGGATATGTCCCATGCTGTAAGGGGCGAATGACGGTGTCTGCTGGAAGTGGAAACACAAAGGAGGTACAGTACATGGATGGCGTCATGGTATGAATAGAGGATAGGGGAACGAAAAGAGGAAATCAATAATTGAGGCAATAGATTTTGTATTCGTATTAGCCATGCCTACCTGTCATTCCCTTCCCGCCAAATTTTAGTCCTAAAAGCGTAAAGTAACAAAATAGTAGTAATTCGGTTTAGCCTATATTAGTGGAGACAGCTTATTAACAAAAGACCCGTTCAGAAGTTTATGTATGCGAAGTTTGATTTAGATCTCATATTTTTTTTCTATCATTCTGGTCCAGTCATAACAAAAGTGCTAAGCAAAAAACGCCGGAATTTAATGAATCAAAAGCGACAGTAGATTATTTTTTATAAATGCTTAATGACACCCGTCCTCCCCAAAACTCTGCAAGCGTTCAGACCCCACAATTTTTTTTGTTGAAGATTTTGTGCCGGCAAAAATTTTCAAAACAAAAACTGCAAAAAATCAATAAATCGGTAGAAGCAATCGGTATATTTTGAACAGGATGACATATAAACTCACGTATCGCATCATTCAAATGCGTAAATGAAATAAGCATACTCCTCTTGCCTTGTTTTCTGGTGAAATTGAATTAAAGTTGCTGATAAGACTTTCCCCTGAAGCCGAATCTTGATAAAAACAACAAAAACGCGCAGCAAATTGCCGCATAGGTAGCCTGTGCTATCCTTCGGTGTTCAGAACACATGGTCTCTACGCTGAGTTGAAACTTCTTTATTATTTAGGGCGGAAATTTGCTGAGTATCGAAAGAATCAATAAATGTTAGAGGCAACCCATGCGTGCTGAAAAAGTCTCAACCGTCCCACCCCATACATTATGTCTGCAAAATTTGGTTCAGATTCCATGGCTCACTCTATCCTTTTTGGGCTAGCATTCAAATTTTTCTAACAAGGAAAGTCCGTTTGGTCGAAGTGGCCTTTTCACATGAAATGTATATGACTATGAAGAGCATCGAAGCTGACTCCAAATCTGTCTTCATTATCTGCCGAGCGCCCCTGGACTTCGAGTTATGAGAGTTTTATGAGTTGAAAGATTGGACGCGTAATTAGAACAAAAATCGTCAAAATTGCTTAAATCGTCCAATGTTAATTGCCAGAGCCCTCCATTTGGACAATACCTTTTGTCCATAATAGTCATACTTAACATTGCTTTATGAGCGCTAAAAGGACCGTAAAAGTTAACTTTACCTAGATTATGCGTCCATTTTTCGCTCTAAGAAAACATTCGTAACTCGGCGTGCAGAGGCGCTCGGCAGATAACGAAATTAGATTTGGAATCACCGTTTGATGCTCTTCAAAGTGGTATAGGACTTATTTCTTTAGGCGTTAAATTCGAAAGATTTGCCTTGGTGAGCTGGGCACAATGCTTCATTCGGGAAAAATGAAAGATTCGCCTTAAAGAGCTGAGTACAATGGTTTTTTCGGATTCAGAATGTATTTATTCCGAAGGAAGCGGCAAGGTAGAATTTGGAGACGCGTGATTTTTCCAGTTCACCAACGCTTCATATTAGAATGAAGTCTGGACTACTTCCTAGCGCAGTATAATCTACAGGAACAGTCGAATAGTACTTACTGTATCTTTTACGTTGGCAAGGCGTTGCATTACACCCTTGCGAAAGGGCCTCTGCTGAAGAATTTGAAAAAAAACTGGAAATGGAATATCGAGGACATGCTGTATATGGAAGCAAACTGAGAAATTGCTCTACCGTCAAAGATCTGGGATTTTTGATTGATTCCGATCT